GATAACATCCTCCGTTCTGACCCCGGGAGAAACTGTGGTCGCTTTGACAACTCAGCGAACGCGCGTGGTCATGGACCGAACACGGACCATAGACGCGCGCACAGAACCATAGACACGCGATCAGGACCGTCCCCAGGTTGTTGCATGTGTGGGTCTTGCCTGTCTCCCCCATGCCTCTCCGCAGTCTCTTCCCCGTCTCTCCCCCATGCCTCTCCCAAGTCTCCTCACAAAGCGCAGCCAAAACAGCCACTGAATTAAAGCTCAAGTACCTAAATTTCTGCGTGCATTGAAAATGCATGTTATTTGTGAACCAAAGTAAAATGTTGTGACCAAATCAAACAGAACAAACCCAAACAGTCTTGTTTATTTTATTTTACTTACTTAAGAAAGAGCCCTGTGAGTCATTATTTTACTTTTTGGCTGAGAGTGGATTTTTAAAATATTTTTTCCAACATAGTTAGTGCCACTTTATTGCCAAACTCTTTTTGACTTATTGTATTGAGAAAGATGTGTTAGTCTCACATTATTATTGTTTTTTTTATTACCTTTCCTGTGTGGAAGTTGTATATTCTTTTTATCATTCTACTGAAGGATTAAAATAATACACTGCATTTTTATTGACAAGTGTCATCTCTCAAATTCTTTTGAAATTATGTTTCTATCTGCACTAGAGGCTGAGATATCAATCATTCTGTAGACGTTGAATTTCAGGAAAACCTCAGGTTTTGGAGGGTGGTTCTGAAGTCGGCCATAGGTTTTACAGGTCTGTTTTACCAGCTGTGTCAGGCCTCAATGGGTTATTTGATTTGGATTGAGTGGATTATCTGAGCTGATCTAAACTCTAGCATTAAAAAGAAGCAAGTATAAAATCTTGATTAAGAACCGCGAGACAAATGGAATGAGTACCAAACACGATGTCCTGGTACTCATCTGAGTACCTCACTGAAAAAATTAGGTGCACCCCTGATTATAACTCATTAAATAACTTATTTATATCAACATTTAAGGCCAGGAGGTCAATGTAATACAATTCTTAAAATGTGTACTTAATTTAGAGTTCCACACTATCACTTTAAAGTGAAATAGTATGAACAAACCTGACATGGTGTCTCATTAGGATTTTTTTTGTACCCTTAGCCAAAAAAATTAGTGAGTATTGTCCTCTTATTTTTCCCTTTCTGTCTGAAAATGCTAATCCAAGGAAGTGACAGAGGTCAATATGCATTCATGTGAGAACTAGTGTCAAAACCCAACTAGATGGATTTTTGACATGGGTTAAATGTGTTTTGGTTTGATAGTTGGGTATTCCAGCTTTTATTATGTGTATTACTGCCATGGGGAGAGAGAGTGAAAAGGTACTAATATGGTTAAACTGTATGGGATATGTTTATATTTATTTATTACATGGCTCCTCACAGCAGCAGTAGAATGCTCCATTGATTTGAATGCAATTTCAAAACGTTCTACCGGTCATTATTTCTTATAACGGACCTCTCAAAACAATCTTCAGTAAAATACAAAACTTCATCAGTCGATGGTGGTTCCAGATATTGCTTTGAAAACAGTCTCTCCCACTTCTCATTGTTGATTTCTTCAGGCTGTATTTGTTGTGTCGAGCCATGAATTCTTCTGTGACGTGTCTTTCAAATCACACGTTTCAGCTTTATTGTCCAGATTCAGCAATCCAATTCAGTCCAAATAATGTCCAAATTCAGAAATCCAATTGTTCTAAATGATGTCCAAATTGTGTAATCCAATTGTTCCAAATGATGTCCATGCAAAAGAGGACGATGGTATTGTCCATGTCTCAGCAGCTCACAGCCTGTATGGAATCAGGGGCTGTGCAGATTGTCCATGTGTGCTGGTCCAGATGCATGGTTTCTCTTGAAGTTTTTTATATTTTTGTTAACGTTTTCATGACAAAAAAACTGTTTTAATGCGAGAAAAAGCGATTGCGAAAAAACCCGGAAGTAGATTCCGGGACATTTTAGGAACATTTGCAGAGGATCAAATTATGGATTTAGGTTAGGTTTATGTTTGGGTTGTGAGATTTCATAACACTTTTAAGCAACTTTTGTTAAAGTTAAACTCATCATTCTATCAATATGCAGAAGCCAGTACTTTTCCCTTGTTTTGTCTATCTGAAGGCCAAGCTACATGGCACCCGTGGAAGCTGCTGATTGGAGGTCTCCATGCCTCCGCTCTGTATAATACACTTGCATTCTGTTGTTTGTGTTGTTCGTGCTGTCTCTACCATTGACAATAAAACATGTCTTCTGTCTGAATGAAAGACGCGATCCCAGACTTGGCTCATCTTCTTCAGGTGGTGAGCATGCGGGCATTGTCTGTAACATCTACAGAACAGAAGACTACTTTTTTGTTTACACAAAAATGTGTTTTGTTTTTTTAAGCCAAAACTGAAAAACTTCAAGAGAAACCATGCATCTGGACCAGCACACAAGGACAATCTGCACAGCCCCTGATTCCATACAGGCTGTGAGCTGCTGAGACATGGACAATACCATCGTCCTCTTTTGCATGGACATCATTTGGAACAATTGGATTACACAATTTGGACATCATTTAGAACAATTGGATTTCTGAATTTGGACATTATTTGGACTGAATTGGATTGCTGAATCTGGACACTAAAGCTGAAACGTGTGATTTGAAAGACACGTCACAGAAGAATTCATGGCTCGACACAACAAATACAGCCTGAAGAAATCAACAATGAGAAGTGGGAGAGACTGTTTTCAAAGCAATATCTGGAACCACCATCGACTGATGAAGTTTTGTATTTTACTGAAGATTGTTGACAAGTTTAATGAAAGATCTGAACATGTTTTATGAGTTTTCTGAGTTTTTGAAGTATTCCGAGTACCGAGTGAAGTACCGAGTTTATGAGTTTAAGTATTGAGTTATGATGTTATGTTGCCGTTTATCGATCCTGATGGTCACATGTGAATGTGTGACCAGAGGGGGGAAACCTGAAGAAGATGAGCCAAGTCCGGGATCGCGTCTTTCATTCAGACAGAAGACATGTTTTATTGTCAATGGTAGAGACAGCACGAACAACACAAACAACAGAATGCAAGTGTATTATACAGAGCGGAGGCATGGAGACCTCCAATCAGCAGCTTCCACGGGTGCCATGTAGCTTGGCCTTCAGATAGACAAAACAAGGGAAAAGTACTGGCTTCTGCACATTGATAGAATGATGAGTTTAACTTTAACAAAAGTTGCTTACAAGTGTTATGAAATCTCACAGGGTCACTCACCGCTGATGTTCAGAATTCTTTGTTCAGTTTTCATGCAGTTCCAGAGAGTTCTAGTTTGGGAGTTGCTAACCTAACTGTTACTAGCCTAGCTGTTACTCGCATAGCCATGGGAAAGCCTTTGGGAACTATTTTATTTTCTGTCATTAAATAAACCTTTTGGCATTCCTAAGAGTGGACTGAAGTTTATTTTGTGTGTTCTGGTGGTACAAAGCCGTATAATAAGCGGGTTAATGTATAGTACACAGGTCATTATCGGAAAATAAGTACCTTCAGGGCGGAAGCAGACCGTCGGGGTCCGCTTCATAGCTATTTATTTATTTACTTTAAGACTACATTATTTTCTAGAGTTAGAAACCGAAGAAGTCAACTCAGACTTCTTCAAATGACTTTCCTACAACTCAACACACTTTTCCCTACCCACAATATGCATAGACTCAAAAGCAGATTAGCAGGCAACTCCCAGCGTTCAGGTAATCCTCACAGCACTGTGCATATAGGCTCTTTAGCTAATTCTGCCAGCTTCAGGCAGTAATGGATTTCCCCAAAACCTATAGGACGTCCACCCTGGTGTAAAACGAGTGATAGGAGCTATTTTTGTTCCTCCTTTCAGCCGATTAAGGTTAAAACCATGCAGGATCAGACTATCTCTGAACACATATGTGGGGACACATATGTGCTGGGTAGTAGCTAATTCAAGAGTCAGAGAAAAGGAAGTATTTACCAACATTCCTACATGTTATCAATAACCCTTTTATTACTACTACTCAAGTCATATTTGGTTTCCTATGAGACTGTGATTAGGTTTTGTTGAATTAACCCTGGACGTGTACTAGTGTTGTCACGAATCTAGGCTATGAGAAAATACTAAATGTTCAATACCAATTCTGATAGCATCACGATAATTTAAAAAATAACCTTTTGTACAGTTTACATCAAAAAAACATTACAACATTAAGGTAATTACACCATAAATAAAACACGAATAAATGCTTTATCACATAAAAAAGATTGACAAGGTTCTGCTTGTAAGTCTTATCAATGTCCTTTTTATAACAATAAGTCATTTTTTTCTCAAACTAGGCCTGTAGGAATTGGAAGAAAGTGCAATATGCAATAGTGGTGTCTAGGAATGTAGATATTTTCTATTCCCCAAAGTGCAGTGTTCATCTCTCACCATGTTGTTCTGTCCAGCTACTCTACAGAGAGTTTGAAGCTACAGCACAGGAGTGGCTCACTGTCAGAGAGTAAAGCCTAGCGTACATCGGACTGGCAACTGATTATATCTGTCGCATATGAGTTGCTGCCCCGCACACATCGACAATCTGACGAAAACGGGCAACTCCCAGTAGCAGACCAGTCTCGGGAATAACAGCGCGTACATCGACAGCAACTGGCCTCAACTACAGTGTGTTTTCTGACATAAACTGTTGCGGGCTCGCAATACACGCAATACACACACATTGTCGGAGCGGCGCATGGAGCGCGCACATCGGGTCATATCTCCGAAACTGAGGACAACTAGTTGCCGAAAAGTAGAACACGGGCAACTGACTGAAACTGGAGACCGACTGTTTATCTCCAGTTGTAAGAGCGCGCACATCGACCGATTTCGGCAACTTATCATCTCCCTTCATCTCCTCTCAGTTGCCAAAAGCCGCCTTGCAACTAGTTGTCTCCAGTTTCTCTGTCGATGTGTGCTAGGCTTAAGAGCCACAATCTTCAGGTGTAGTCTTGGAAGAGCCACACTATACCAGCATGCCATCTCCAGGTCTCGGACTACCAAATTAACATATTTTGAATAATAATAATCAATATTATTTTAATGCATCGGTTTTATATAGCGCTTTACAGGACACTCAAAGACTCACCTTGAAGACAAACATTTCTCTTCTGAGGATGGCCAGCGTGTTGAATCCACCTTCGCATATGTTGGGTTTGGCATTGGGATGTGATGGTGGGGGTAGCCTGGGAGGTCTGGTCTGTCTGTCTGGCTTTCGGGGGTCCGATGGAGGATGGGAGCGCGGAAGTGGTACCGTGGGCAGTGGCTTGGTGGGCTGGGGAAGCTTATCTGGAGGGCCTGGGGAGATACAGTAACAAGGGAAATGACTTATGCTGCAGAGTGGATAATTTGAAGCCTTGAAACTATAGACATTCAGACAAATTCTTTCAAGTGTGATCTGTGATTTGATAAAAGCGCCAAAAGACACAAAAGGATCCTAGCAACAATATTGCAGACATGAAGCAGGATTTCAGAGCTAAAGAAAAGTATAGTTAGGTATCTTAACTCAATGTCACTTTTTGATTTACTGTATATCCCACACCAAGAATTGATGACCTTCTTAAACGCCTTGGAAAAGATGAATATCTGACCACTTTAGATCTCTCTAAAGCAGGGGTCTCAAACCGGTTCCAGAAAGGGCCATGTTGCAGCAGGTTTTCTTCCAACAGTTTCAAACTGAGTAGGAGCACAGATGATTCCACCCATTTCCTCAGGTGAGTACAGTTTTAACCTGAAGATTTGAGGAAATGGATGGAGTCATCTGTGCTCCTGCTCAGTTTGGAACTGGAATTTGCAGTTCAACCTGGCAGGAGTACATGGAGCACCTGCGAGGAATACTGGATCGCTTGCTAGCAGCTGTTTAACTGTAAATCCGGCAAAATGTGTTTTTGCTTCCTCAGAAACAGAGTATCTGGGCCATGTCATCTGCAGTGGGAAGCTGAGGCCACAGGTGAACAAGATAAGAGCTTTGTAATCTTGGACCTTACCAAAGACAAAAAAACAGCTGCGATCGTTCCTGGGGATGGCAGGCTTCTACTACCACTTTTTACCCCACTTTTTGGCCAGAGCGGCAACACTAACAGACCTGACTGGATCCCGCAGTCCAACTCAGATTCCATGGATAAAGGAAGTTATGGAAGCTGTTCAGGATATCCTTCAAGCACTGAGTATGGACCCAGTTTTGTATAGTCCACATTATAATGAACATTTCATTGTACAGACTGATGCATCGCAAACAAGACTTTCATCCTAAATGATTTCATCTCGTTGCGACGCTTGGATATACTGTTTCTAACAGAGACATGGCTTCAGAGTGGTGAGTTTCTGCCATTTTTTGAACTTCTCCCTCCGGATTATTCTTTCTTTAGTTCCCCTAGAGCCTCTCGCAGGGGTGGTGGCTAAACATCTGTGTATAAAACCAATATTCAGTGCCGGTAAATTCCCCCACATTGTGTGCTCTCCAGTTTTGAACTGAAAGGAAATGGAAAAAGGACAAATTACATGTCTCCTTACAGATATACAGAGACTCATTAACAGACTATCAGCGTGCTGTAAAGGCCGGCAAGTGTCAATATACTGTATGTCTGATCTGGTTTCATGTAACCGCCATAAACCTCAAGTACTTTTTAATGTTCTTGATAATATTTTAAACCTACGTGTGAGTGGTATTACCCCATCACCGACATTGTGTGATAGATTTCTGTTGTTTTTCATTGAAAAGAATGAAAGTAGTACTAGAATTCACTGTACCATTCTGCTATCCAGAATATATAACTACAATGTTCATTTTCTTCATTTTCAACCCCTTTTATTTGTCCATTTCTGGGTCAGGGGGGTGGCAATGAAAGCTGCCACCCAATGCTCATAGCACCAGTCCCTCGCTGATCTTCTGCAGGGGGTGAGTCCACAGGAAGATGGCTGCTCCATCAGTTGAGAAACCGCCTTGATCTTTCAGCGGGGGGCTTCAGGCAACGTGGGGTTAAGTGTCTTGCCCAAGGACACAACGACAGCAGTCATCAGTGGGAGCAGTTGGAGTAGGTCCCATGGTGGGAATCGAACTCACGACCTCCAGGCCCAAAGGCCAATGCTCTACCAACTGAGCTACTGTCGCCCCATATAACTACAATGTGTTTATAATATTTCGGGTGTTCATTTTGACATGTTAAGACGAATTATGTTAAAAAAAACGGCTTTGTAGTTGCACTGTTTCACTTCCGCATAGAAACGCTAGGGGGAGTCCCAATGCAGCGTATGACGTAGGAGAATGATCTTAGACAGGCTGACATGGCTGGAATCTATACAGCAGCGAGTGAATTGATGATGGATCTGGGGAATAATCGGGGGTTTCACTGTCATCTGAACAAGGTAGAAACATATTTTCATCAGTTTTGTACATAATTGTGTGCAACTTTTTTAACCTTTTAGCCTTATATGTGAGATTCAAGCTAATTAGCTAGCTACTTGTAATGTAAGACACGCTACAGTAAATGGGCTTAGCTATTGTGTTTTGTGTGTTTGTGGCTACTTAAAATAAGCCTATGAGTTCGTTTTTTGACCAAAATAAATGATCAATAAATTGAACAATATAAAGCATGATTTACACTGCGGTGTTAGAGCTTGTGGGTCACAGTGTCTGTCCTTGCGGCAGTTGGAGACGCCTCGCTCGGCTCCGTTCGTTTAAAGACAGTTGGGATGGCATCAGGTTTTAATGTAGCCTTTGTCTTGTGTCCCAAAGACGCTGCCACCGATTGAATGTGTTCAAACGAGTCCTGAAGTGCTCAGAACAGACACCACAGGATCTCCTGCAGCAGACAGACAGGGAAGGGCAGGTCCAAAAGACGCGTCTGTTCCCCTCGTCAAATCACTCCTTCTCCGTTGTAGGGTTTGGGAAGTTGTGTAAAGACACTCTATCCTTATTTACATTAGTACAGCCGTAAGCGACGCACTTTTTCCACCTTGTTATTGGCGATAAGGCAAAGAAAAGTAAAAAAAAGCGTTTGAGTAAGTGTACAGTATAGTACAGAGTAGGCGCGTGTTTGGATTCAGAATGTCATTCACCTACGTCACACATCAGGAGCATGTTTTTAACTGGTCTTTTTCTTTTTTTTCCGTTTTCTTTTTTCCCCCAAAATGTTTATAGGGCTCTCCCCTTACAAAAACTGCAATTGGTAAAATCAAATTCTAGTACTACTTTAAGGAGGTTTTTTATTCTGTTGGGCCAGCAGTGCTGCTAATGATAAATGCCTCATTAGCCTCTGGCTGTGTCCCTTCTGCTTTTAAGCACGCCATAGTTCAGCCACTCCTTAAAAGACACAATTTGGACCCAAACAACTTGCCTAACTATAGGCCCATTTCAAAGCTTCCTTTTCTTTCTAAAGTTTTGGAGAAGGTTGTATACTGTCAGTTGCAGTCCCATATTACAATCAATGACATTTCAGAAAAATTTCAATCAGGATTTAAAACCATGCATAGCACTGAAACAGCAATCTTGCGTGTTTTTAATGACAGTCTTTTAACACTTGACAATCGTAGCCAAGCTGCCCTCCTTTTTTTAGATATGTCCTCTGCCTTTGATACGGTAGATCACCAAACTCTGTTGTCCCGCCTGGAAGCATCTGCTGGCATTAGAGGTCCAGCCCTGGATTGGTTCAGGTCTTACTTTTCAGATAGATAATTTTCCATTCAAATTGGCCCCCACCAGTCTAAATCTGCGTCCCTCAGTTGTGGTGTACCACAGGGTTCTATTTTGGGCCTAAGTTTGTTTGCGATCTATGTATTGCCCCTGGGATCAATCTTAGAAAATTATAACATTGCTTTTCATTGTTTTGTGGATGATGTACAAGTATATTTGCCTCTTAAATCAAATGCTTCATCTTTGGAACCTCAATTAACTGCTTAAATTTGGTCAAACAGTGGATGGCACAAAACTTCCTCTGCCTAAATGAAAAGTGATGTGAATAACATGCACATGCTGACACACAGACAAGAGTGAATAAAGTATAACCACCATAACAATTTATATTACCAGTAATCACATGTACTAACAATTATATTGATCAGTAAATGTTCTTATAAGTATCTCCATAAAATGTTCTTATATTATCAGTAAGAGTCTGCATAATAGGCCTTTGTTATATGTGTTAGTGTGGTCAGTGAGAATTCAAGGACAGGCTGGTCTCTGTGCAAAAGTAACCATTTTCAGGAACGATGTGTCTGCTTCCCATGAGACAAAAATCCGGACCAGGCCAGTCTCGGGGACTGAGGTGATAAGGAGCCCATGACGTCTTCGAGGGACGAGTCCTGATCTTCAGCACATTTATAAAACTGTATTATGTAGAAATTGTAAACCAGTCTGGACAAGGGACCTGCAGTATAAAGTCAGAGCGCCTGACTTTATACTCATATATAGATTTGAGAGGGAGAGCTAGCTTTAAGTCCAGACCGCTGTTTAGACTCTTTGTATCAAGGAATAAACTTTTTGGATTTAACTTTTCGAATACTGGTCATCTTTATATGGGATTTTGAACACGTCATTTTTTACAATAATTGGTGACCCCGACGTGATCCCTTTGGTGACCTCCAACGCTCTCATCCCTGGACTCCACGTCTCTCCTCAGCGGCCGCTATAATAAAGGTAAGCAGATACCTATTAATTATTAAAATCTGCATATTGGCTGAGACTAAATCAAGGGAGAGAAGTTCTGTCCAGGGTAGAGCTCGCTCAAACAAATAAATAAAAATAACACTGATATTGCGACAGTTTTTAGCTGCATTTAAAAATCTAAGTTAAAGTCTTAGTCTAGATCTGGGGTTTCAGTCCCTGGTGTGAAACAGGTTAGAGTCCTGTCTACTACGGTAAAAGTGAAAAGTAGAAACACCCGCTGTAACAAGCGTTGCTGACGGACGCGTCAGCACATGAGTCAGGTTTAAACCATTAGAACCTGGAGGAGATAGGGTCCCTCCCAAAAATGGAGACATTAATACCATTACAGAAACTCTACTCAGAGGTGGAGGCTCAAATATTGAGTGGTCTAGAAAAGAAGAGCAGAAAAAAAGCAAAGAGTAGAGCAGCAAAAGCATGGACAAAATTACAGAAAAGAACAGAACTTCCCGGGTCCATGACAAGGGCTGCGCTGGCTAAGATAATGCAAGAGGAGGAAAGCAAACTGAGAAGCGAAAAAGAGGAGTTTGAGGGAAAGCAAGGTAATAGCTGGAATGAGAAAAGGAAGATAAAAAAGGAATTAAAAAAGACTGAACAGCTAAGAACTAAGGTGCATAACTTTGCTCTTGCTGCCACA